AAATTCTTTCATGGGAGCACCACGATCCGGAGGAGAAATATAAGGATTGATAACCCGAGCGACTCAAGTTTCAGCCTTTTGCCTTCATCAGGCTCAAATGCGTCGAAGACACATAAGTGAAAACATGTCCCATCACATTTGGATACGGGTGTAACCTGAACCAAGACTCAGTGAAGCGTAGCCGGCAGAAAGCGAGAGTGGCTGAACAGCCAAGCACAGCGGTGTTGTCGGATTTCTGGATCAACCCTCGTACATATTGGCTGAGGTGAGAAGCCTTATCTGTTTTATTCAGCATTGAACTCTAGAGGCAAAAGTGGTACAGCTGTTGGAATCTTGAATATTTTTCTAAATTTTTGCTAGATTTCAAGACACTTGGATATTTGATTTACGATTGCAACAGACCATACACAAAATTTGCAAAAAAAAATAATTATTGATGAAATTCACAGTAGGTTCTACAGGGTATAGACAAATACAATTCCACATTGTTGGGATTCTATAACATTTATTGAAGCATATTTCCTATGTCATTAACTGTTCCGAAATATCGTACTTCCGAAAATCGCAAGAATACAAAATAGATTTTTTCAAATCCCATACTAGGTTGTTGCTTGAAGGTCTCTGATACTGATCATAATATCTTTACATAAAAACCTAGTTCATGCGTCAGATGTATTTAAAACGATTTTGCTGAGTCACCATATACTCAGGTACCAAAACGGAAGAGAGTTACATGTAACATGCGTGCGCCACTGCTAACGCTACGAGCCTATGTATCGCCAAATTCGGTGCGTTAACAGTGGCGTACGATGTATCTCTCCTTACGTTTCGGCATTGGACTTTAATTATGTCAGAGTCAGCGATCGCCGAACGGGATCGCAGCTACTATCTTGGTGCATGTAAATAAAACCACTTTCCAATAATGTACAGATCTTTTTATTTAAAAAAAAATCATTCATTTTGACATACTCTTATTAGATACATATAAGTTTTCACATGTTCAAAGTACACCACTCCAACTCACCCACAGGTATCGGTTCATAGTTACAATTCCTCATGTATTCATGTTTATTCAAACGTTAACCCCTCCAAAACTTATAGAGCAACGTTGACCATGTGAAACAGTTTTGAATAAAACAACGCAACATGGAAAGCCTCCTCAATAGATAGAATTTGAAATATAAAATCATAAATAATTTGAGACCGAGTCGGCTGGAATGTGAATATTACAGTATAAGACAAAACAGGAGTAATATCTGAAAAATTCGTACGAACCACTTTGCGCTGTTGAAAGAGGAATTTATGAATGAGTTACTATTGAATATAGACTAGGAAAACAAACAAGCATACAAATATGTACAACATGTATTGCTTTTTAATTTTTTTGCAAAGCATTTTTAAAGAGGTTCCAGACATATTCGTCCGATACTGTATTATGTTAAATCCTTCAAACAGCACTCACATTAACAAAGTACATTATAGCGTTACAATCAGTTTTGATAATTTGGAGGCACACACCTACACATAATATGCGAGTATTTCATATTCAGTATGTAAACGGTTATTTCAGTTCAATCAACGCTATACAATAGCAAAATTTTGGTCATTTCATAAACTTAGTTATCTCTATGTACATTCGTATATAGATCGAAACAAATAATATAAAAATACATCAATACCTTACCTTAAATTATATAGATATCACACAAGAAAATATATCCCATCTTTCATTTTTTAACAATTGGCAGGATACTTTTCATATATGCCTCAGAACTCCAAAACCAAGTCTAGCAGTATCACAAAGCATTCTTCCAACTTAAATAATATTAGATGCTTAGAAACGATTTACTAATCATGGTAGATGTAACATTAACAATCGTTTGTTTTGAGTAGTGAAGTAAGAAAAAAGTTGTAAATGTCATATCATGGAAACTACAATTACAAAAATCTACAGAATACACGATATAACATAGAAAAACTTATGACATTCGAATTAGAACATACTTTAAATTAGACGAATTTTTACTGACTGCTTTGTGTTGCTACTTACTAGAAAATTTTGTGTTGACAGCTACATCGAGTTTAAGACTTTCATGTCGAAAACAACTCATCAAGTATTAATTATTCCTTGTGATACAATATACAAGACTTCGAACATTCATTACTATATTCAATGCTGTATAATATTTACAGTGTCTTTTCAACATGTAAAGCGCTTAGTTTTATGTAGACAAAATATCGACAATATTCATAAATAACTACTATTAGCCACTTTGCGACGGGACCGCCAACCAAAATCTATTTATTTAGTATCCTCGAAGATAGACCTAAGGACCAATCATCACCTCGGTGCTAAAACATATACGACTTTTAAGTAGCAAAAAATTTGCACTATTGTTAAATAGATAACTCCGAGGTAATTCTGAAAATCATTTTGTCATCCATGGATAAGGCAGTCGCTCCTATAATCATATAATATTGAATCTTCTAACGTGGAACGTGTATTTTCTAATCATGTTTGTATATATACACCTCCCGAACAACCAATTTCATTAAATTGTATTAAACTGTCTGTATCTGTATAAAACAAATCATTAAATACCCTATTACATTTCTAATAGCTACATTTTCCCTAAATAAAAAAGTCACTACAGGTGTCCCGTCAGCGCAGAACAGCAAACACGGTGTCCTCAGAGACTATACTTCCTAATGCTTTCTATGTATATGTTCAATTAAATATATTACAGGACCAAATTAAACTAGCAGACGCAGCTCTGCAAAACAAAGTATCATACAAATATTTGACATTCATACTCAAAATTTCAGATCATTTTATTCCCTATCAGTCTTGACCTCCTGGCATAAAGTTTCGGTTGCTAGTGCTAGACTCGCCTTGGAATATTTATACTTTTGATTGCGTTGTTCCACAGAAAAACATTAGTGAATTATTTGATCTATGGTTGCCCTTGAACTGCAGAGAATTAAATAAAAATCTAAACTGTACGTATCAAAAACTAATCACAAGAAACAACTGAATAAGCTCCGCGTGTCCAAACTGAGAGCATTTATTACCACTTGATGACCACAAGGAAAAAGGATGTTTGTGAACAGCGACATATCCTCGATATTATGCTCATCAGTCTTACAAGGATGATGTTTGTTTGATTATATATATATATATATATATATATATAAAGAGAATATGATCATGCGGAGAAAAGTATATAACAACAAGTAGGAAAATAATGGGCAAAATCCGCAAAAAGGAGGAAAGTGGATTCGAGCAGAAAATAGGATAGGTAACTCGAGCGATACGTATTTGTGCTGGTTGGCTTCATCAGGCCCGAAATGAATGCACATATGAAACTAAAAAAGTAGATACACATGCCCACACATCCGGATACGGGTGTAACCTGAGGAAACGAAGTTGGAGGGGAAAAAACGACACACGAAGTCCACAACAAGAGCCAACCTACACATTGTAGTATAAAATGGCTATACGACCTCGAATTTTCAAGGAGACGTATAACCACCAGCACGCGGCCGGTTATAGCCACTTGCTGTGGTACTTCAAGCCCAAAGGACCTACAAAGAGAATATGATCATGCGGAGAAAAGTATATAACAATAAGTAGGAAAATAATGGGCAAAATCCGCAAAAAGGAGGAAAGTGGATTCGAGCAGAAAATAGGATAGGAAACCTGAGCGATACCTATTTCTGCTGGTTGGCTTCATCAGGCCCGAACTGAATGCACATATGAAACTACAAAAGTAGATACACATGCCCACACATCCGGATACGGGTGTAACCTGAGGAAACGAAGTTGGAGGGGAAAAAAACGACACACGAAGTCCACAACAAGAGCCAACCTACACCTTGTAGTATAAAATGGCTATACGACCTCGAATTTTCAAGGAGACGTCTAACCACCACCACGCGGCCGGTTATAGTCACTTGCTGTGGTACTTCAAGCCCAAAGGATCTACAAAGAGAATATGATCATGCGGAGAAAAGTATATAACAACAGGTAGGAAAATAATGGGTAAAATCCGCAAAAAGGAGGAAAGTGGATTCGAGCAGAAAATAGGATAGGTAACTCGAGCGATACGTATTTCTGCTGGTTGGCTTTATCAGGCCCGAAATGAATGCACATATGAAACTACAAAAGTAGATACACATGCCCACACATCCGGATACGGGTGTAACCTGAGGAAACGAAGTTGGAGGGGAAAAAAACGACACACGAAGTCCACAGCAAGAGCCAACCTACACATTGTAGTATAAAATGGCTGTACGACCTCGAATTTTCAAGGAGACGTCTAACCACCACCACGCGGCCGGTTATAGCCACTTGCTGTGGTACTTCAAGCCCAAAGGATCTGCAAAGAGAATATGATCATGCGGAGAAAAGTATATAACAACAGGTAGGAAAATAATGGGTAAAATCCAATCCGCAAAAAGGAGGAAAGTGGATTCGAGCAGAAAATAGGATAGGTAACCCGAGCGATACCTATTTCTGCTGGTTGGCTTCATCAGGTCCGAACTGAATGCACATATGAAACTACAAAAGTAGATACACATGCCACACATCCGGATACGGGTGTAACCTGAGGAAACGGAGTTGGAGGGGAAAAAATGACACAAGAGCCAACCTACACATTGTAGTATAAAATGGCTATACGACCTCGAAATTTCAAGGAGACGTCTAACCACCTGTTGTTATATACTTTTCTCCGCATGATCATATTCTCTTTGTAGATCCTTTGGGCTTGAAGTACCACAGCAAGTGGCTATAACCGACCGCGTGGTGGTGGTTAGACGTCTCCTTGAAAATTGGAGGTCGTATAGCCATTTTATACTACAATGTGTAGGTTGGCTCTTGTTGTGGACTTCGTGTGTCGTTTTTTCCCCTCCAACTTCGTTTCCTCAGGTTACACCCGTATCCGGATGTGTGGGCATGTGTATCTACTTTTGTAGTTTCATATGTGCATTCATTTCGGGCCTGATGAAGCCAACCAGCAGAAATACGTATCGCTCGGGTTACCTATCCTATTTTCTGCTCGAATCCACTTTCCTCCTTTTTGCGGATTTTACCCATTATTTACCTACCTGTATATATATATATGACGAATGGCAACTTTAATAAACACTGATGAACATGAGAAAGGAGCTTTTCGCGGCAAAAAGGTAGTTCGTATAACTCTTGATGGCACCTTTATATTCAGTGACTCCTTCCAGATACATTCAATCAATCAAGTAAAGCATTAAGTGCAGTAGGTTTCATCTCAACCGTCTCTCAAGTTCACATTCTTTATGCCAGAAATAAGATCCCGTACATAAAGTTAAACCTGATGATATAGCCTATCGCACAATCACCCACATCACCAGCACTATTTTTGCTATCGTCCGCATGGCCACCGCTGATGTAGCTGCCGACGCAGAGAGTGCGCTGGCAGCAGTCTGCAGACACTGGTGGAACTCGTCGTAGTCCACTCTTGTGATGGCGCAGTAATGGGTGTGGGCACAATGCGAATCGCATTGTGCCAAAGCAGCTGTGCCGCTGTTGAAACGCACTGAGTTGGCACGGTAGTACCTGCAGGAAAGCATAACATTGAACAGTTGTTGATTTGAATTCAAGATGAAAATTTATTGATTCTATTAACACGTCATTTGTCCATACTTCCTACTTATCTATCGCTTGTGGAGCTGCAGTCAGTTTTTTTATTTCTGTCCGTCAGTCTGTTGGTTTGCGATGTCAATCTCTCGAAATTTATCTCCGTCAATCCGCCTGCTTCTTTTCCCTTAGTTCTGTTGACAGTTGATGACTTCGGCAAAACTAATTGGATGAGATTTGGGAACGAGATGCTTTACGGTTGCAATAGGTAGACAGGATTTCCCAAAGCAATATTGCAAGTAAGGGAAATATGCCAGTTCATATAGCTAAGAGTCAACGCATACCTTTTTTTAGATATACAGGATGTTCCAAAAATAGACGGAGATACCTTGGAGAGTGATTTCTTGTTGAGAAGTATGAAACAAGTTGTAATAAACACGAAAATTTATTGATTCTATTAACACGTCATTTGTCCATACTTCCTGCTTGTGCAGCTGCAGTCAGTTTTTTTTATCTCTGTCTGTCAATCTGTTGGTTTGCGATGTCAATCTCTCTAAATTTGTCTCCGTCAATCCGCCTGCTTCCTTTTCCTTAGTTCTGTTGACAGTTGATGACCTCGGCAAAACTCATTGGATGCATTTTGGGAACGAGATACTACACGGTTGCAATAGGCAGACAGGATTTCCCAAAACAATATTGCAAGTAAGGGAAATATGCCAGTTCATATAGCTAAGAGTCAACGCATACGTTTTTTTAGATATACAGGATGTTCCAAAAATAGACGGATATACTTTGGAGAGTGATTTCTTGTTGAAAAGTATGAAACAAGTTTTAAGAAACACGGGTCCGTAAATATAGAATTTTCAAGATACAGGGTAATAATTTAAAAAAATATTAATGATCTTAAAAAATATTTACTCGACTCTGTTAAAATTTGGCAACATCATTTGTTGTACCTAGGGGCTAATTTTGCCCTGAATAGATTGAAATTACCAGGACCACCGGCGTCCCGGGGGCATCCTAGCGAATATTACTGGTAGAAAAGCTGTACGCCACTGGCTTTTTAGTTTAGTTTTTGCTGAGAAAGTCACAGGTGCCTTGGAAAACAGAAAATCATTTCTTCATGGTGGTTTGACATTTGCGCATCAGTTCTTCTAGAAAAGAATTATTCACGTAATTTGTCTTAAAAGTCTTTGTCTCGGTTTTTGTGATGGAAAATTACACTTCTGAGGCAATGACAGAGATGCGTGCTTATAGTAACTTTTATGCAGCGAGGCGCCTGTATGCAGAAGCGTTTCCATACCATTGCAAGTAGGAGAAATATGCCGGCTCCTACACCTAAGAGTTAACCCATAACTCTTTTGATGGATGTTATAATAGTTTTGACATAATCCATTCTAAGTGATTTTACTTATTTATTTGTCGCTACTCAACCAATTCAAGGGCCGACACCTTAGAATATAGTTTGGTCAGTTTATTTATTTTTCAGTTGACCAATTCTCTCGAAAAATAACGTGCAACACATTAAGAACATTCTTAACACAGTTTAACTAAACAGAAAGATCGACATCTTTAAGCTTCTATACCAACCTGCTAAATATAGAATTCTCCTGCGGTGTATGATGTGTCAATTTGTCAGCCAGCGTATGCAAATTGACCGCATTAATGTCGTTGATGGAATAGTAAGTGCTGAAATTGTATTCGACCGACCACTCTACGTTCCTGTTGGGGTTGGCGATGGCACCGGACAGGTCCAGGTAATACTGGGTGTAATCGAACACCTGGAATAGATACAAATAGTGAAACACTACACTACACTAACGATGAAGCAAATTGGTCATTGGATCAAATAGTAGGGTGGCTGAAAGTTGTAGGCTAAGTGGTTGCTCTGCTTTAGCCTATGAAACTATGCGAATAAACAGACACATACATTTACTGCTTTTACTCGCAGCAGCAAACCGAGAAATGTTTTTTTACCAATATAAATCCAACTGGTCAAACATGTCAAAAATGAACAGCAGAGAGAATAACCACACCTCTAATTCAAGAAGCCTGAACGGCTCATAAAGCAGCCGTTCGTTTTTAAATAGGTCTAAATAAATTTGAGAGGAGGCTCTAGTACCAAGTATTGTTTGTCTCACAATCTATGGGCTGAGAATTTTTACTTTCTTCTATGGACAAAAAGTGACCAAAACTGCTCTTCCAAGTTTATTAGTCTATTCTTCCCTTAGTTACCTTGTGTATGTCATTGTGACGAAGTTTCATTAGAATTTATTTCTTTTAGATTTACATGTGTATACTCGTATAAGCAATTTGAAAAGGGATGCAATAAACTTTATATTACTCTGCTGATTGACGTTGGGGTTTGATCTAATTAAAAGCTGCACAATCCGTCATAACAGATTTTTTGTTAAAAGCTAAGAATCAGAACAACAAACATCCCTGACCACCATTTTTATGCATTTCAGTGCATACAAAACTTCGCACTTTCATTTCGCGTATAGTCACATCCGTCCTAAAATTTTGAAAAAAGAAAGAGACATTTGGCCGTTTGAAGTAATTTATTCATATATTTATCCCCAGTACTTGTTTTTCTGACACGGCAGTAGCAGTACATGCAAACAATCTAGTTCATCAATTAGTAATACAATTATTTGTGGGTAAGTGAGAAACCAGCCGTTGAGTGAAAACAGCTAAAATAATAATGTTACAGTGGGTGTTCTAATCTTGTAAACCTAGTTACCTGTTTGTGTTCAGATAATGACATCGACGTAAAACGTGATAAATTATGAAAAGGGATCTAAAATTACATTCAATATTGATCTGAAAGTCAATCCCACCGCGTAGGTGGGATAGCAAAGCTAACAGAAAAACAAAATAAAGAGACAAAACCGCCCCACATCCAATCATCATGATAGCTAACGGACGACGTGTCGGAATTTCAAAATCGAAAATTCCGGTTGATTTTCTGGAAATACGTGAATTTGCATACCAACATGTACTCTTTTTATTATTTGATTTCTTGTGACGGTTCGCATATAAACATCGTTCCTACACAGTCAGAGCTCTGAAGGAGTTCTTTTGATAATCAAATTTTCCCCCTAGGTGGCATGCGTGATGACCATGCAGTATAAGTGGCGAAGGCAATGTTAAGAGTTTTGGTTTGATGAATATCGGTATAGATAATATATACATATAATTATAATTACAAATGTTCCAGGTGAAATAAAAATAACGTGCAAATAAATATGAAATACCCACAGAAAGCAAAGCCTGTGCGCGTCCCATAAGTCTGCTGTCAGCTCCTTCTAAGCTCGCCGAAAAGGTGATTTATCGTCACCTTGAGAATTTTTCGTCAAATCACCATGTGATTCCTGACGTCCAATTCGGTTTTCGGTCCGAGCATAGCACCGAGATACAGGCAGTCAGGTTGGTGGAGCATGTAACCAGAGGGTTTACCCTCAACATGAGTACTGGCATCTTGCTTTTGGATGTCTCAAAAGCCTTTGACAAGGTGTGGCACGAGGGCCTCCTCTATAAACTAATCCGAAAGGGTTTTCCTTTTTGGCTTCTAAAATTAATGAAATCCTTTCTTGAAGGAAGGAAGTTTCGGATCAAAATTAACAATGTTTTGTCAACAACACGGGCAATACGGGCCGGAGTTCCTCAGGGTTCGGTCCTAGGGCCAATTCTTTATTCGCTTTTTATCCATGATGTCCCTTCCCCCAGCAACTGTGAAGTCTACCTCTATGCTGACGACACTGCACTTGTCGCCCAGTCGTGTACTGGTGATCTGGTTCACGATGGGTTGCAGAATGCGGTGGACGAAGTTCTAGAGTGGGCGGAACGGTGGCTGATAAAAATTAATCATTCGAAACCGCAGGCTATTTATTGTACCAAAAAACGTCGCGGCCCCCCAGCAGAGGTTTCTGTAGACGGAAATCGTGTACCATGGACAAATTCTGCCAAGTACCTTGGTGTCACCCTTGATAAAGGCATGACCTGGCAGAAACATACAGCATCCATAAAAACAAAATTCCAAATTGCGTTTCGGCAACTATATCCTTTGTTATGTAGATCCTCCAAATTGAGTTTGATAAACAAAGTTCGACTATATAAAACGATTATTAGACCAGCCATTACTTATGCATGTGCGGCTTGGTGTTTTCTTGCCAAGACACACATGCAAAGTCTTCAAGTACTGCAAAGCAGAACTTTGCGGACAATTTGCAACGCTCCATGGTATGTCTCAAATGAGACACTACACAGAGACCTTGACATTCCTTACTTGAGGGATTATGTCAAGCTTCAGGCGCAGCGACGTTATAGTCAAGCGGAATCGCACAGCAACCCTCTGTTGCGTGACTCAGTGGACTACACAGTGGAGCAAGTTCGTAAACATTCAAGGCCACGGCTCGCACTGTAATCAAAAGTTATCGTGAATCTTTAGTAGACTCAAAATTACACTCAAACGAAACCGAATCAAAAATTTGTTTAGTTCACCTCAAAATTAATCCGTGTACCAAGTCAAAAAGCCTAGGTGTTTCCTCTTAAACTAAGCATATCTGTTTTTCTTTGTTCTTCTCCTTTTTTCTTCTCTTTCCCTTTCTCTTTTTCCTTGATTTTGTCTGGTTTCTGGGCAACCAGAACTGACAGATTCGACTAACGTACATCAGACAGTGACTAATGGGCAAAGGTCCTACGGACCGCCCAGACAAATAAATGACGAATAGTAGGACCATGAAATAATCGCATAAAGCATATTTGGAATACTGCTCCAAACTTTCAGTAGGAAAAACAGGGTCATGTGACCTAAGATGCTTTTTCATAAATAATACTCAGTAGCTCAACAACTAATGATGAAAACACATCAGTATGATATAGCTTCTTCTCTTAGAATAGCCCATTTGAATTGTAATAATGATATGTCATTCCATTAAAAAAACTTACTATATGTGCACTAAGTACTATATTAATGGACCCCCAGTATACAGGGTACTCCACAGATCGATACCAACCTTCTAAGGCATGATGGTAGGCCCTATTTAAAATACTTTGAGCCATATGTACTTTAGTGCCAACGAATTAGTAAGAGCCAAGCCTATATGTTTACATAACTATGTTTCTCACCAAAACTGAGTAGTTTTTTTTTAGCTTTAGTGCATACTTTTTCCACATTTGTCTACCAGTGACTACCAAAGTGACATCGCTGTATCACCATAATAATAATACCTATCGTGGGCTGGGTTAGTATCACAATTATCAAACACTGGCAGTATTAAAAAATAACGCCAAAACTACGAATCAAATGACAGAACTGTCAAAAAATTGTCTATCCAATATTGAGTCTACATCAGTATAATTGTCATCATAGATACAATAGACATAATCGGGTGTGCGACGAATCAGAGAATGACATATTAGGAAGGTAAAAAGTTCATTTGCTTTAGCTGCATGCTTTTACATGCTTAAACTTATCTATTAAGAACTTTTAAAGGAATTTCTTGACAGTTTGAAAAAAAAGCTTTTGTTTTTATATATATTTGAAAGAATTTGCTGGTGTATGTTGAGGGAATATGTTTCTGGAAACATAATGACTATATTTAAAGCAAGCTGAAACAACAATTTACTGTTTCTCTCTGTCTGTACTCACGTGTTTTTATTACCCTCTGTATCAAATTTTCTACCATTAGTGGAAATGGAGTATGGAACTGACTGCACTGATGAACTTTCCATTAATTGAATCAACTTCATTGCGAAAACCGGATTGACGGCCGTTAAAGTGAATAGCGGATTTTATATGACAGAACAGGTAAAACGCAATTTGGCTACGATGGGCCAATTCCGTTTTTTGCGGAGGATTTTTATGATTTTTCCGTATTCAGGGAGTGCTGGCAATTGAAACTGGGTGCATCGTGATAGGGCTCAGTTCGCGTTTCCAGATTTTGAAGAGAGAGAAATTACATTATGAGAAAATTCCAAAAGTCATAATTATATTTTTTATTCTAAGATCTACGTTTGGTAATAATACTCTTAAAACTGAAATAAGTATGTATAACAGAAAATATTTAATAAGCGCTTTGTATGACTTCTTTAAGGTACTCGTATATCAGATATACTAAGGGTGGATTTCACCAGGATTGTCAAATCAACAGTCTACCTCCACCTATAGTGTAACAGTCCGTCTAATACAGCGAATGAGCTTCAAGTTCCAATCAACAAATTTTTGCAATCAATAGCTGGAATTGTTGAAAGTATGAGATAACAACTTGTCACTGAAACATCACATCAGCTTGTTGAATATTAAGAAATTTCATATAGTTTAGTCAAAATTTTAAATAGTGTTAGATTTTTGAATAATATTCATGATTGTATTTAATACTGTCAATTGCTTATTCATGTTTATATTATATATTTTCTTCAATTGATATGCTATTTCACTGATTCAACATCACCTACCGTGTGTTCTTTTTCGATAAACCTCTTGCAGATATCCTATCTAGCACCTACTTGATGACAGGCTCTACCAAAATTTCATAGATATTGGTCGTTTCCAAACATTCATTCATTTACTTGTTGTTCATCAGTACCTTTATAGCACCGTCGATTGATATTCCCACAAAACCATTCAGGATTTTTGATATCTATACATCCATAGTCAAATATTTTTTGGTTGTTGAGGAACTGAACAAACATCCACACTGTATTTACAGCGATTAAGAAATACTCAAATCTATGTCGTAAAGCTACCGGCAAACTTAAAACCTGCAAAAAAATAGAA